ATGAGCTATGTGACAAGCTGGGCATGATAGACATCTTCAGCCCAACTTGAGGGGGAGTGTTGTAAGGCTTAAGTGTTCCTTGTAACTGATGTTAGTGGGACAGTTTCAGCTACTAGTCCTTTCTTTCTTTTTTTCTTATTGTTCTTATCCTAGGATATGCCGCCAGAGGCATACTTGTAATTTTGTCTTTTTTATAAAGATTAGTATAAATAGAAGACTGGCAGCTGCCAGTACTGAGTTTGCTTTTCTTTCTATCATCCGTACCTCTCTTTCTCTCTCTCTCTCTCTCTCTCTCTCTCTCTCTCTCAATCACCACAAGCAACAACAATAAATATAGCAGCAGTTAAATTAAAAGTACAAAAAGGAAAATCATGATTCAAGCTTAGCAGAATTGCCTTATATCTTCTTGACCACAAAAACAGAAATATAATTGAATTACATTCAGTGTTAAATCCATGGGAAAAGAGGGGAGGGGAGTTAAATTCATAATTTCAGATATTATAAAATAACTATGGAGGGTTAGTGGATCATTAACAATGGATGGAGTAGGAACATCTTTAGAAATTTAGTTTCCTTTTACTTGGTTGGTTTCCTCTTGTTACCTGTTCTGAAAGCTTCATTCTTTTTTGTTAGCATCTTTATCCTGACATAATATCTGTATCTCAAGCAGGATTTTACTTATGTACAGTCCTTTAGAGGTCATGAGCATAGAATAATGGCTGTAGTATTTGTTGATGCTGGCAAACAATTGTGCATAAGTGGTGATATTGGTGGTGGCATTTTTATCTGGGATATTGGCAGTTCTCTTGAACAAGAACCATTAAAGAAATGGTATGAGCAAAAAGATTGGCGTTATAGTGGTATTCATTCCTTGGCTATTTCTGGAACTGAACACCTATACACTGGGAGTGGAGACAGGTCAATAAAGGCATGGTCGCTGAAGGTAATGTTTATGTACTCTGTACTTTGTTTTTACCAAATTAACTTAATCACATTTTTTTAATATTTTTGTCATAGTATTTGCACCCCATTAGGGTGAAATTAAATTAACAGCAGAATTGCTTTTTTGAAGATAGGGATATTTCAGTAAATTATCAAAAAAAGATAGGGACATTTCAGTCCATTTTCTTAGAATACTCCAGTACAATTAATCGTTATCATCATCTTTCTTATCCCACATAAATGTGGTTGGCATCAAGAATTTGTTTCTCTATCAAGCTATTCTTTCCTCAGTTTAAGTTCGCTATTGTCCTTTGTAAATATTTATGTTATTAGAGAAGGAAATTCCCACTCAGTTTGACATCAGAAATAATGAAGCCACAGCCAGTTCCACGAGAACTGAAGACAAAGCACCTTCTCCATGCACCAACTGAGCTTCCACCAGGAACCTAAGATTGGAGACCAAATACACAGCTAAATCTAAGGAATTCTAGTACAACCACCCTGAGACATCCCTATTTTGCTCTTCTCAAAAGTATTACTGTTCATGTTGCTATATGGCAAGTCCCCTCACCTATCTGCCTTTGCTTCTCTTCTCCCCTGATGGTCCATGGACATAATTGGAATTGTACCCTAGAATCCTAGAATTTTTTTTTTCTCCTTATTTTACCTTCCCTTTTTCCCAAAGTGGTTTAATCTCTCTCTTCAAGTCTGGCGAATGGCTTACTTTTGCCTTGTTTTTTTTTTTCGGGAAGTAGTGAAAATATTTTTTTTGAATAGAGGAAAAGCATTCCTCAAGGCAAGAGTACATAGGGCAACGTAGGCCCCCAAAGACAAACTTTGAGAAACCATACAACCACTACGACCACACTGCATCAAAACAGAAAAATTATCATCCCATAATACCTGATTCCAATGAGCCAATACTGATGGTGAATTTAAGCCTGTAAACTCCTTATATGTGCATGCCCACTGAAATCGTTCTCTCCATTCTTCCAAGGACTGTTTCCAGCTGATAAAGCTTACTTCTGTCTTGTTCCCTTCAAATTAAAGGCTTACAAAATTTTAAGAATCTTCATGATTTATCTCCAAGCCCCAGTTATGCATTTTTCACACAATTTGGCACTTGTTTATTGTAGATTGATGAGTCATTTCTTGACTCATGATTGCATATTGCATTGCTTTACAAGGCCTCTGCCAAGCTTAGCATTGCATTTCTCTAAAGAATGAACCCTTGCTAGAATATGATCACAATAACTGAGTATTTATTGATATTTTTCGCTAAAACTTTTGTAAAATTTTATTTTCTACAAATTTTTATTACCTTTATATTATAAGTACTTTTTAGAGGATGGTTGATAGTGGTAAATTTTTCAACAACAAAGAATGTGGTTCAGGCTCAATTGTTACCTGCAGCACATCAAAGTATAAAATTGAACTTTGATGGAAGTTCTTTGGGCAATCCGGGACCCTTGGGAGTTGGGGAGTATTAAGAGATGGGGAGGACAGGCTGATAGCACTTTACTCTGGCCCAGTAAGTGTTGGAAATTCTTTAAGAGCTGAGATTATGGCCTTACTTCAAGGACTGAGTCTGGCCAATGGGGATTCCAAAACTATGAGGTGGAAGGAGACTAAGCTGTTAATAGAATGGCTGCAGACAAAAAGTCTGGGGGTTGTAGACTTATAGATAACAGATGAGGGATATTTTTTGCTTAGCAAGGGAAGCTGGAGTACTCTTTAATTGGACAAGGAGGTCAGCCAATAGTGTGGCCAATACTTTGGCAAAGCAGGGGACTCAAAGGGAATATCTTTTGGGCTGTGTTGTAAATCTTGGGACAAAATATGGGGTCAACACTCATGCTTTGAGTGGTTGACATTGTATGTTTACTTTTGCTGGTTTAATGAAAGTTACTGTTTCCAATAAAAAAAATAGGTGCATCCTCCCAGCAATTCCGGTTCAGTAGGAGATCTTTTTCCATTGAAGAAATAACTTTTGATCTAATTTTCAGGCCCAACTCCAGTAAGGAATACTGCAGTCTCACCAAAAGGGGAAGAGAATTTTGGTCTTGTTTGCTCAAGAGTATGCAACTTCAGAACTACTAAACTTCCTAAAGCATACCCTCCATGAGGGAAGCTTGCCTTCAAGTTAAAATATAACTTGTAGGGGCACTATATGTGCATCACCTCCTGGTTTGGCAAGGAAAAAACCAGAAGAGCTTGCATCCATGAAAGTGATGAGGTCTCCAGGTGGAGGTCCTTTTTAGAGACAATTTCTCCTCTCTTTCAGAAACTCCCCAAAAACCTGCATCCCTCTCTGAGAGATCTATCCTTTTCCCTACCCTTGAGGGTTGATAGTCACTTTGGAACAAGAATTAGATGATGATGATGATAATAATATATGTATGCATGTATATGCATGTATATATATGTATGTAACAAATAGTTAAACCTTCTACTCACTCAGAAATAAAATTTAATTTAAAAGTATTTGTAGAGTGGTGTAGATCCTACTCTAGCTCTGCGTTGCTTCCTATTAGAAAGTTATTCATATCCTTCAATTACAAATCAAATCTAATTTACTTCCCTAACTGAAATAAATCCTCATAAGAAAGGCTATGAAGATATTACATAGGTGTAGGTCCAATTCTTCTAGATGAAATTTGTTGTTTAATTATAAATGACACCTAATGGTCTCCTAAATCAAATAAAAAACCCAGTCTAAATGCTTCAGTGCTTACCATAGGAATGGCAGATTCCAAATAAAATAGGTAGCCTATAGTTGTCTCATGCTGAGTACAAGGTCATTTTCTAGTTTATTACCTAATTAGGTAATAAGATTTTCTAACCTGAAACTACTCAGCATCCCAATGGTTGTGTTAAGCTGATAATTTCTTTAATGATTTTTTACCTGAGAAGTGTTCTGTTACTATGTTTACTCTGGTTTAAAATACAAGAGGGCCCTATAGTAAGTCACATATTTTGTTTCTCCTTTTTCAGGATTACACCCTTACATGCACTATGAATGGTCATAAATCAACAGTTTCTTCGCTAGCAATATGTAATGGGGTTCTTTATAGTGGAAGTTGGGATGGAACTATTCGCTTATGGTATCTTAATGATCACAGTCCTCTGACAGTATTGGGAGATGATACACCTGGAAATGTGGCTTCTGTCTTGTCACTTTCAGTAAACCATCATATGCTTGTTGCTGCTAGTGAGAATGGATGTCTAAAGGTTTATCATTCTTTGAACTTTCTCTCCTTGGGGACTTGGAAATATAGATACTTGTTGGGGGAAGTTAGGGTAGCCACTGGACTCGATGCTTCTTTCTCTTGGATTTACAGATTTGACAATATATCGTGGATGCCTTGGCAAGACTAGGGGTAAAATAGAGAATAATTGTATTGGGGACTGACCTATTAAGGGAATTCAGTATAACAGTAGGGTAATTGATTTGAGGTAGTTTGCCTTTACTAATCTGAAATGGGGTGTTTGGCACAATCCTTTGTAATCTATTTCTTTTAAATAAATAAGCAAAACTCTTTTGATTGTTCTGATCCAAAAGAGAGAAAAAAAAAAGAAATCATTTAACTTTCTCTTCAGCTCAGGTCATTGAGCAATTTCTCAGTGAATTGGGTGATGTGCTTTAAACCACATCTCCAGTTACTGCAGAAAAAAAAAAAAAAAAAAAAAAAAAACTATCCGCTGGTACAACCCATATGTGTTTTATCCAGTCAACAGATTGATTCCAATTTTGGGGTTGGAACCACCATACCTTTTTTTTGGGTAATAAAATAAAATTTATTAAAAGAAAAAGAAGTTGATACAATACATTACTCATCATTAATAAGTTTTGATTGTTCTTTTTTACTTCTGGTTCATGTTTCTATCAGATGTGGAGGAATGATGTGCTTGAGAGATCAATACAAATTGAGAATGGTGCTATTCTTGCCATTGAGTTGGAGGGTCAATTGCTTTTTGCAGGAGGTTGGAATAAGACTGTTTATGTACAGGTTTGTGTGGTGCATAGTTCATTGTGTGCAATTGATGTTTTCTTGTTATTCTTCATATTACCCTTTCAAAAGTTTGCATTGCCTTATGGGGAATTTGTTCCTTGTAAAGTTCTACCTTTTATCCATGGATCTATGTTTTGGTTTCATTAGGCATTATGCCATATTCCATTGGGTTGTGATTTTTTTTTTTTATTTCCACTAAAAATTCTGCATATCTGAGGATACTGGGAAAATGTTAGGAATATTAGAAAAAGAGTGGAATTTATTCGTGAAACTTTAGGAAATTTTGAAAGAGGTATAACTATATGCTTCAAAAAGTAAAAGAATAAAAATTCACTATGTACAACCATGGTTCACAATATCAACGATATTGGTGAAATATCCTCGATATATCCCCATTTGCTAGGTGGCAATACAAAATCTTCCTGGAATCTTCTTTTCCAAATATCCCCGACATTTTTCCGTTCGTCGGTGATATTTCAGATTTCATTGATAGGCTATATATTTAAAGTTTAAAATTTTAGAATATTATTTCAATATTTCATTAAAATCATCATATTTTTTTTAAAAAAATATTTTTCTAAAAGAACCAACAGGGAATTAGTGATCAGATAATTGGCTTACTACTTTGATATGATTCACTTACCAAGTCACTATAATTCAAAACTTCTCCAACTCTACATGGTGAAATGTTTATCGATATTGATATTACGAACCATATGTACAACAATGGATAAGAGATTAAAAATCTCAAATAGGCATAAAAGGAAACATCTTGTTTAATACCTAAAGGTGAATATACATAAATACCAAATATAACTCACATCTCTCGACTCATTTAAAATCATCTCTATTTTGAATTATATGACCATAGTATTATCATCATCATCGAAGCCCTTGTCCCAACTATATGGGGTTGGCTACATGGATTCTGTTTTGCCATTCTGTTCAGTGCCATATCCATCATCAAATTATGGGTGCTTAAACCAATTCTTACTATTTCCACCCAAGTACTTTTTGATCTGCCCCTAGTTCTTTCTATCCCTTTCAACTTGTAACAGATTACTTCTTCTAACAGGAGCTGTAGATGATCTTCTATGCATGTGACCAAACCACCTCAGTCTAATTTCTCTCATTTTATCACCTATTAGAGTTTCTTCTAGGTGATTATATAAAATATAATCACTATGATTATTATGTTGCTATATGTATATGGTTATTATAAAGGATTAATTATTCTTAATTTATTATTTAACTAAAATATTTAAAAGAATTTTATATTCCTAAATCACCAATTAGAGTTGCTGAATCGAAGGTCTATGGTTAATAAGTTTAAATAGATGTTCTTAATTTCATGTAAAAGCATGATTTGGGCCTCTTCTGTGCCTCCCAATTATTCTGTTGAATTGACTTTGGCACTGGTGAAATTTGCCCAATATTCTGTTAAAGATTTGAATATTTGCACATAATAAATTGAAATTTTCACTCATATCAAGGAACATAGAGAGATTTAGATGTATTTTTGTACACACTCTAGGAGGTTTTGATTCTGACTTTAGGGATTGTACTTCTCTGTTTTGGGTAATCACTTTCCTTCAAGGATGTGTTTGCTAGACAGGTCAGCCATAGAGATTATTTACATGCCTGAGGAATCCTCAAATATGGCAGTTTTGGTGGTGACTTGAAAGGAGTTTTACTAGTTATCCGCATTACCACATGTGACAAATTTCACTGTCAACACCCAATATGTGTAAAAAGAAAGCATTCCTTTCTGGGTTGAATATGTTCTGGAAGTAGCAGGTCTTTCTAGGGGGATTCCACTAGAAGGTGTGGCATAGTATCAACGTGCATTGGACATTGGGCACAAGCCTAATCCTGATGGTCCTTTATTTGATTAAATCTTTCCAAAGAGATGAAATATAACTGTTCAGCAAAAAAAATCCCTTTCTTGTTTTTTTTTTTTCTGTATACAAAAAAACCCTTATGTGCTCATAGATTCTAAATCGTCAATATATTCTATTATTTATAGGAGATATCGGGAGATGAACTTCAAATAGATACGCAAAAAATTGGCTCTATTGCATGCAGTTCTGTTATAACTGCATTGTTATATTGGCAAGGGAAACTTTTTGTGGGATTTGCTGATGGGACTATCAAGGTACACAATAGTTCTTTATTTTTTTATCTGTTTTCCTCCATTTCTTTGAGATTTACAATGGGATTTATTCACTTTTCTAGTAGTAGGCTTTGGCATCTGTATAATCTGAAACTGAACTTGTGGATGTGTTGGTCTCAAAAGTATTTTTGTTGTCTGCAAGAAAAAAGAAATCATCATTCATGCATTTTTTGTAATATTATCCCTTCAGCTGCCATGGATCATCTAGATGCTTTTGCTTTTCTCTTTCCTGTCTATTAATTTGCTGCATTCTCCAAAGGGTAAATGACATTATGTATTCTCATTTCTCAAAGACAACCTTTTTCCCCAATTATTAGCTTATTAATTTTTTTTTACTTGTAAAGGCTTTATGTTTTATTTTATTTTTGATTTATATATCCATATTTCATTTTTGCCTTGTAATGAGTTAGTTGCCATAGTGAAGACTAGGAAATCAGGTCCTGGTGATTGCTTTGGTGAATAGGGCTGCAAATGGATCAGATCATAGTTATACCTACATCAGACTTTGATCCATTAATATTTGGATTTGAATCGAATATTTTCCTGTTAGATTCAGATTCTAAGACCCCAGATAGCTGGGACCAATGTTGAGTCAGCCTTTTCATTATCTGTTGGATTCAGACAGACTTTGATTTTTATTTATTTTTTGGCTTCAAAACAGACATTGATTTCATTTGGATATTGCATAATACTAATCTACTAATGAAGAAAAGATCAGAATACTACATATTACTATAAAATGAATTAGAAATGACTTTGAATTGGGCTGGATCCATATTTAGTCTAACCATAGAAGAATTGAATTTGAATCATCTTAACTGGATTGATTCAAATTTGGATTGACATCTAATACAGATAAACAGATATCTTTTGTAGTCCTATTGGTCAACCTTGTCGTTATGGGCATGTTACCAAAGCATGTTCAGAATATTTTGTTTCTGGCATTATTTGAATTATGATTTCCTTATTTTATTTCATCATGACTACTTTCGTGGACTGATATTGGCAAAATAACCTGTTAAACATATTTTGGTTTCACCCCCTTTTTTTGGTAGAATGCTGACTATTATATGATTTTTCCAGGTCTACTGTCATGGGCTGTGATTAAAGGCTTATCAACTGGGACAAATACAGAATAGGATGATACTAGAGGTTAACATTCAATTCAGACAGAGAATGCTGGATAGACATCATGGAAAAACCAATATGTCAAAAAAATCTTTCGTATTTATTTTTGTGTTTTGATCACCCAGCAACAAAGATAAGCTGATTTTGTATAAAATAATGTACAGAAAATGTTAATAGACATTGTATAAATAAAATATAGAAATTAATAGATAAAAAAAAAAAAGAAGTTTTAGAGGCTTGTATGATGAGTGACATGATATGGATACTTCTACGATCATTGCTCTTTTTCGTCAGCATTTTCTTTAGGGGATGTCCTCTTACAATATGTTACAAAATGAGGGATAGTAGCTGAAGATGGTTTTATTACATGCAAAGAAATCCATCTACAGAACTGGTAAGAAGTAATCTGTTGCAGTTTGAAGGTGCCAGCAGAATTGGGCACAGACAAATAGGACATGGGTTGAAACAGTGAGGAATGATTTTAGGGCCTATGATTTAAGGTCATATACTAGAACACCCCCTATAATTTCACAGATTTACTTAAACCTACCCTATTGTTTGCATTTTACTAAAACATCCTTATAGTTTGCAACCCATGGTTATTTATTCCAAAAGTACCCTTAAATTGAGTGAAAAATGTTAGGGTATGGATCCATGGTTGTTTATTCCAAAAGTACCCCTAACACTTTTGTATAGAAAACAAAATTGACCAAATAGAGAAAAATACTGGTTGTTCGTGTTTTATTAGGGGCAAAAATGACAATTTTATTTTTAGTTTCTTTTGACTTAATTTATTTGAATGGATATTAGGATTAAAACTGTCATTTTCTATTTTCATCTAATGGAAGGTTGATTAAGTAAATTGTTTGCAAACTGTGGGGGAAGTTCTAGTAAAATGCAAACTATAGGGTAGGTTTTAGTAAATTTATGAAATTATAGGGAGTGTTTTAATAAATAATCCATCTTAGAATTAAGGATGCAAGTCAGATACCCAACTTGAAGAATTTAGGGAGAATTGATGGTTCAGCCCAGGGTCAGAATTTGTAGGCTCAAAGTACATTTGGGGTAGGTACCATCTCGGAATTGATGCCAATTCATGGGCATGTATGGGTGCATAGAGTGTGAGTTTTTGACCTTTTGAATGTTTGTAGCTCCGTAGTGGAAATCAGAAATCTGTATTGGGTCTGGACCCACTCAAGTTTTTGACCTTCTCCAAAGAATTTAAAGAATTTACACTGCATCAGGCATGGCCCATTCAAACTTTAATAAATGCTTAGCCTGGACCCACTCAAGTTGCAGGCCTGGACATGGCACTTAATAAAATGGAATGGTCACTCAGGATTTATGTAGCCACCCCATATGTTTTGGACAAGGCTTAAATGATGATGATGATGTCCTCTTGCAACTCCCAGATGTCTATGTCTTGCAACTCTAGATGTCTAATTTTTACCTAGGTAGGTTATTACTCAACGTTGTTTCAAAGACTTCCAATTCATCCAGGATTTTGGGAAAGGTGGATTGAATAAAGACAAATTTCAAAGAATTGGAAGAATATGTCAGAAAAATTAGATTTACATCAGTGCACTAGAGAAAAATAAATTCTAAAAAATACATCAATAACACTAAATTATTATATTCTCAAATGACGATGTCCATGTCAGTCTACTCTCTCTTGCTTTCTTATACACCCTGGAATTTTTTGCTTTTTTATTAAAAATATTAAAGAAATAAAACATAGGTTACTCACAATCGATACAGTTTCCTTTTTATTAGGAAATTTGTAATGACTCTCCTGTAAAACTGGGAAATCTTCTAGTTAATGACACTACTTAGAGGATTATAAATAACTTATGTACACAAAAAAAAAAAAAAAATCATTAATGGTTTTTGTGAAGTGTTATCATTAATGGTTTTTGTGAAGTGTTATTGTGCGAACTATTGGGACACAATTAGTAACTGTTGAAAAATGATGGAATTCTAAATAATTAGGGAGATTTGTTGGAGAAAGTGATTACAGAAATCTCAAAAACTGATACATATTGGCCGGTACAAGCTAATACCTAAGTAATTAGGGAAATTTAATGGAGAAAGTGATTATAGAAATCTCAAAAACTGATAGATATCGGCCAGTACTATCAATACTTTTAATTTTTTAAACCTTGATAAAGACCTAACCTTCAGCATTTTCTTGTATAAATTGATCATTATCAAACTAAAACCCGTATCATGCTTGTCCAGCTCAGATTTTATCATTGCACCAAGCAATTGTCCCTCCAAATATGTTTCAAATTTAAAATTCTTATTGCTTTTATAATAGTAGCCGTACAAGACTACAAATATCTTTAGGTTTTGAACAGCAAAATAAAAGAAAGGAGAAGAGAAGAGGAGAGGAGAAGAGAGATGGAGAAGGAGACTCGTGGAGAGGTTTTAGAAAGGAGAGAGTGGTTGGTGTTATGGAAACAGCCACCCCACTCTTTAAATTTATATACATAGTCTTATAATTGTAAAAGGGCTAAATGATTACATGGCAAGATAAGATAAGATAAACATAATTAAAAACTAATCCTACTAAAAGACTAATCCTAATTACAACTCAGTGCTGTCATCGTGCTGTCATATGAACACACTAATGTGGGGTCTATAGTTTTCTACACTCCCCCTCAAGTTGGGAATAGATGTTTGTTATTCGTAACTCGCATACATCTTCCTCTAACTTCTTTATTGGAGTAGCCTTGGGGAGAAGGTTTGCAAGCTACATGTTGGAGGTGATGTATGAAAGGCTTACTTCTTGAGATGTAATCCTCTCTCTGATAAAATGCCGGTCCACTTCAATATGCTTAGTTCTATCGTGTTGTACAAGATTATGGACCATATTAATGGCAATTTGATTATCATAGTGCAACATTAGGGGTTTCTGATAAATAATACCCAACTCCGCAAATAACGATCTCAACCATAGAATCTTAGCCACACCATTTTCCATGAACTTATATTCAGCTTCAACACTGGAATGAGAAACAACACTTTATTTCTTACTCTTCCAAGAGAGAAGATTACCTCCTACAAAAGCATAATATCCAGAGGTAGATCTTTGATAATTAACACACCTAGCCCAATCAACATTTGTGTAAACTTCTTCATGTGGTCATTATTCTTGAACAAAATGCCTCTGCCTGGGGACCTCTTCAAATATGCTAATATTCTCTCAACTACAAGGAGGTGAATAGTTCTAGGAGAGTGCATATACTGACTAACTGCACTGATTGTATAACTGATGTCAGGTCATGTGAGACAAAAATAGAGAAGTTTTCCAACTAACCGTTGGAACAAAGCTTTATCTTCAAGAGGCCCCCCACCCTTTACACTAATTTTGTGGTTTTGTTCAATAAGTGTGTCAGTAGGCTTAACACCAAACTTTCTTGTTTCTTCCAGCAGATCAAGAACATACTTTCATTGAGAAACAAAAATCCCATGCTTGGATCTAGCTACCTCAATGCCCAAGAAGTATCATAGTTCTCCTAAATCTTTTACCTCAAACTCTTGATGAAGGAGTTGCTTAAGAGACTCAATTTCACTAGTATCATTCCTTGTTACTACAATATCGTCTATATATATAACAATTAAGGTTAAGGAAAAATCCACTCTCTTAATAAACAATGTGTGGTATGATTGGGCTTGCACATATTTGAACCTCTCAAGGGTTCCTCTGAATTTGTCAACCAAGTTCTGGGGGACTGCTTTAGTCCATACAAGGCTTTGTTCAATCGACAAACCTTATTTCCTATCTCTGTACCATAAAATCCAAAAGGCAACTTCATGTAGACTTCTTCCTCCAAGCCTCCGTTGAGGAAGGCATTTTTAACATCCATCTGATACAACGGCCAAGAGCAACTAGTTACAAGAGATAATAGGACTCTGATAATGGTCATCTTTGCTACTGGTGCAAAAGTTTCCAACTAGTCAACACCATATTGTTATGGTCTAACACAGGCTTACCCTTGCCCACGCTTGGCAGGCTTACGTTAGGGACATCACCATCATTTTCGCCTGTAAGATTTTTGGGAGAATTGATGTTATCTTCAGGAAGGCCACCAAAAGCTTAACGTACTCTTTGAGGAGGGGTGGTCAACCTCCTTGGGTGCCTAACCTTGGCACTCCTAGACCTTCATCCCCTTGCGGGGCAGCCCTGGTTAACGGCTAGCATGGCTACTAGGGTTCCTCATGGGCGCACACATGCTCATGGGGACAGTGTTGGACCGGCACTGTGCTACCAATACTCAAGGGAGGCTTGGCATGCGAGCCTGGCTCAAGCATGACCCCTCACCACGCCAGCCCCATTGCCCAAGCTGAGTGAGCTACCCCGTTGCCTCTAGCGCATGGGTGTGTTTTGGCCCAAGCGGTTGCCTACCATCATGGCACACAAGTGCCTGTCATCTTCGGCATACAGGAGACCCATCACATCGGTGCCCAATCACCTCTCCGGCGCATAGTCACCTTGCATTATGGTCGTCCCCCTTTAGCACGTAAGTGGTGCCTCCCATGGACCGGTGTGAGTAGAAGAGTGCCCCGGCATTGGACTTGAGGTCATGATCCAATGCTACTGACTTTGGTGGAGCCATCCCATCGGGCAACTCCTAGCCTCTCAGCGCATAAAGGCTTGTCCTGGCCTACCTTGGCCTGGATGCCGCACGGGTTTCTTCCGCTGTAGAACTACCCCTGTGACAATATGTCAGAGTAAATCCCTTTGTAACTAATCGGGCCTTATACCTTTCTACAAAACCATTAGCATTATGTTTCGTAGTGAACACCCATGTACATCCAACTGATTTCTTCCCTTTAGGCTGATCAACTATCTCCCAGGTATTGTTTCCGATGAGGGCATCCATTTCTACTTTTATTGCATCTTTCGACTCAGATACTGACAATGCTTCTTGTATTGTTTTGGGAATGGGAATATCAACAATGGATACAAGAAAAGATTTGTAGGATGGAGACAAATGATCATAGGATAAGAATTAAGAAATGCAGTGAGTTGTGGATGTGGTGCAACGACGCTTTCCTTTACGGACTGCTATAGGGAGGTCTAGGTCATTCAATGAAGGTGAAGGCTCCATGGTGGGAGGTCTCTCATCTATAGTATCTAGTGAAGAGATTGTGGTATCTAGATCTAGATCTGTAGAAAGAATTAGGGCTAGCCTAGACTGATGATGA